CATAATTACTAAGACCAAATCACTTAACTTCTCTTGGCTTTAGGTTTGACATTATAGGGGTGTTATAAGATAAAAGGAAAAAAATGGTAAAGAACTTGAAGCTTTTTGGAATTAATAAGCAATATTAAGATGATCTTCAGCTCTTTTTTGACAAAGAAAAGTTTATTATATTATATGGCTCATTTAACAGTAAAGCTGAAAACAGGAAATTTTTTTAAAAAGCATTACCTTAGCATTTTTTAGCTTTTCTCTGACTTTGCCTCTCAACGTCTCTATTATGTTTTGATTTTCTTCTGCATCTAAATCTATCAAAAAACCAACATAATGCAGAGTTCACGATACTTTTTTAATTAAACAGTAATAGCAGTGTAAATACTTATTAAACACCTTAACTGCATGCATTTCTAAGCATCATAATAATTATGAAGACTGAGAGCTTAGGCCCTAAGACCAACGGATGTCCCTTCCCCGTTCTCCAGTTGAACTAAATACTTTTATCCATGGTCAGGAATGAATTTTGTTTCTTTTAGTGACTTGTTCTGTACCCTCTGTTACTTTCTTTTGCTGCTTCCTCAGCTACTGGCCAGAGTCCAAGCAAAAATAAAAAATAGTAAAGCTCAGGTAAACCAACCTATATCTTTTTTCCTTTTAGAAAAAAAAAAAACCATGAGAATGGTCATATTCTATATAGACTGCCCTGTGGAATATACAAATATCAAAAGAAGGTTACTTCATCTTGATCAAACTGGAAAGAAATTCTGAAAGGAAGAGAGATAAGTCTCTAGGTACTATTTTAACTACTTAATGTTACTTTTGTAAAATCAGTATAAAACTCCTGACCCTTACTTCAGCTAGCTCTTTTAGAGGAAATGAAACAGTCTTGCAGGATATAAAGAGGGGTCCATCTGTTCTGTACTCCAAGTCATGTGTTATTTTTTACTCATCCACTGGAGGATCCACCATATAGATTGAGAAACACAGAGGTTATACAGTCCTAAAAAACAGAGGACCTATTGGTCATTTTGCCTTGCATTTTGCTTTTTCCTCTCCCTCCTTTGAGTACTTAATGGTTGCAAAAAAAATGGTAGAAAAAAAGGGTAGGCACAGAGCTAAATCTGTATAGGTCATGAGAATCTTCCTTTTTAACCACAGTATTTCCTGGTATAATTTTAGAAGTACTAACAGGTTTGTTTATACTCTATTCCCAGATCTTAGAATGGCAGATAGCAAATGATATGTGCTCAAGAAATATTTGCTAAATGAATAAACCAGGATTCAACCATTATTTATGTAGTTTTCCCTGAGATCTGAAACTTTCTCTCTCTTTTTTTTTTTTTCTTTTTGTCTTTTTTCGTGACCGGCAATGGATCGCAACCCTCAGTG